GTTTAACTCTAGTACAGAGACATGAAAAATGTACTTAAGTACAGTAATGAAGTACTTGTACTTTGTTACATCCCATCACTGATAAGAACGGGACCCAGACAAATGGACCAAGTATTAAAACAGTTGCAGTTTCAAAAAGTCAGAGCTACTTTATTAAATTGTACACTAAGTGCTTGATTACACAAATATTTGAGCAGAAATATTGTGATATTTCTGTCTGAAATGCTCCAGGCTTCACCGGACGTGCTACAGCGGCTGCTACCGCTACTTGTAAAGCAAATTCATATAAAGTTAGTCCCTCGATTATTGCGGGGGTTACGTTGCACACACCACCACGATAGGTGAAAAACCTTGAAGAACACTATCCTGATGCATGCTCAATAATCCAGGTAGAAAAATCTAAAAAAGTTAACTCTGGTCCTCTGGACATTCAAAAAACAAAACAAAGCAAAACAAACAAACAAACAAAAATGTAGAAATGTTTCATCTTTCATCCGAAAGATTTCTTCAGTCTTAGGTGTATTCAGCTCTGTCTTCTAAACAGCTTGAAGAACACTATATTTATTTCAGTGCTTATATATACATGCTGCCTGGCCAAAAAAATAGTCTCTACCTGGATTTAACTAAATAGGTACGAGCCTCCTATTGGATAATTACTGCATGGACGATTATATTTCAGCTGGCAACGTTATTTAACCCCAAGTGATATAATGAGATGTTTTCATTTCTTAAACAACCATGTCGAAAGACACATAGCGTGGTCGTGGAAAAGATATCGTCTGTTTCAGAAGGGTCAAATCATTGGCATGCATCAAGCAGAGAAAACATCTAAGGAGATTGCAGTTCTTAAGAACTGTCCAAAGCATTATTAAAAACTGGAAGGATAGTGGGGACCCATCATCTTCGAGGAAGAAATGTGGCTGGAAAAAAATCCTGAACGATTGTGATTGGCGATCACTTAAACGTTTGGTGAAATCAAATCGAAGAAAAACAACAGTAGCACTCAGGGCTATGTTTAATAGTGAAAGTAAGAACATTTCCACACACACACTGTGAAGGGAACTCAAGAGACTGGGACTGAACAGCTGTGTGGCCTTAAGAAAACCACTAATCAGTGAGGCTAACTGGAAAAAAATGCTTCAATTTGCTAGAGAGCATAAAGATTGAACTCTGGAGCAATAGAAGTAGGTCATGTGATCTGATGAGTCCAGATTTAGCCTGTTCCAGAGTGATGGACGCACCATGGTAAGAAGAGAGGCAGGTGAAGTGATGCAGCCATCATGCCTAGTACCTACTGTACAAGCCTGTGGGGGCAGTACAATGATGTGGGGTTGCTGCAGTTGGTCAGGTCTAGGTTTAGCAACAGTATGTATTCAAAGAATGAGGTCAGCTGACTACCTGAATATACTGAATGACCAGGTTATTCCATCAATGGATTGTATCTTCCCTGATGGCACAGGCATATTCCAAGATGACAATGTCAGGATTCATTGGGCTTGAATTGTGAAAGAGTGGTTCTGGGAGCATGAGACATCATTTTCACACATGGATTGGCCACCACAGAGTCCAGACCTTAACCCCATTGAGAATCTTTGGGATGTGTTGGAGAAGACTTTGTGCAGTGGTCAGAATCTGCCACCATCAATGAAAGATCTTGGCGAAAAATTAATGCAACACTGGATGGAAATAGATATTGTGACATTACAGAAGCTTATTGAAACAATGCCACAGTGAATGCATGATGTAATCAAAGCTAAAGGCGGTCTAACAAGATATTAGTGTGTGACCCAAAAATTTTCAGTCAGGTCATCTGGCCAGTTTCTTTTTTTTCTGAAATGTTTCACCTTCCATCCAGAAGGCTTCATCAGTCAAGGAAACACACAACACAAAACTGATTCTTCCCCCAACAGCTTACTCTAAAGTGGAAAAAAACAGCTTTGTTGGTGCTAAGATGGTCTCTTTGGCACTGTTTGTATACCTGGATTATTGAGCATGGACGTGGTTGGTTTTGAACCATTTGTTTGTGACCATTTTTTTGGGGGGTGGCAACTTTTTTTTTTTGGCCAGGCAGTGTATTTTAAGGCGTTATAAACCCTTCCCACACTCTTGCAATGTTCTAAACTCTTAAACCTACAACATTTTAACAACATACATAGATGTTCTGTACAATACTGCAAAATTTTACTCACCAGCTCTGCAGACCAGCAACTCTGTTCCGATCGGGCTCGGTTCCAGTTCGGAAGATCTACCCTACAGCGACGAAGCCCACCACCCTGTCCAGGTGGATGTGCATGTGGATAATTGAGCTTCAGGAAGCTTCAGGATTATTTGTGACTTTTCTGCCAGTTCTGTGAGTTTAATAGATCGATCGTTACTTCTGACTTTGCGTTGTAAAACTTTCCCTCAATTTCGGCAGAAAGCAGCAGCCGGAAGCACTGTTGGCTTCTGAGTCGTGTAGTTCTTTGATTGGCGTTACAGTGTAGGCTTATTGACTACTATCTGTTCAATCGTGGTCGATGCTCGGTCACTCCTTGGATCTACGTTCTCCTTCCTTGATGCTCATATACAGTTTCTTTTATTTCGGCAAATGTCAGGTTTGTATCCTGTTTAATG